TATTAAACAAAGTGGCCAGTAAGCGTACCGGGTCGTGAGCTGATTGGCGCTTGCGTTATTTTGTTTATTCAAAAACTCAACAATTTGGCCAGTAAGCGCTTTGGGTTCAATGGCGATTAGTGCTTGTGTTATTTTATTCATTTAATTACTAAACAAAGTAGCCAGTAAACACCCTGGGTTGTATGATAATCGGTGCTTGTGTTGTTTCATTTATTTATTTAATAAACAAAGTGGCCAGTAAGCGTACTGGGTTATAAGTTGATTGGCGATTGCGTTCTTTCATTTATTATGTTTATTATTCAAGTGTTTAGTAAGCACTTTTGGTTGTGTGGTGATTGGCGCTTGTGTTATTAAATTTATTGAATAATAAACAAAGCCACCATTAAGCGCTCTACATAGTGTAGTGTCTGGCCATTTGTTCATTTATTTATTTATTTAATAAACAATGTGGCCAGTAAACGCTTTGAAATGTTCGGTAGTAAGCGCTTTTGATAATTTATTTATTTAATTACTGAACAACGTGGCCAGGAAATGCCCTAGGATAAGAGGTGATGAGCGCATTGTTATTTCATATGTTAGATTAATCAACAAAGCGACCAGTAGGCTCCCTGGGTTGTGTTGTAATCAATGCTTGTGTTGTTTTATTTATTTAATTAATAAACAAAGTAGCCAGTAAACGCCCTGGGTTGTGTTGTAAATAGCGCTTTTGTTACTTTATTTATTCAATAACTGAACGAAGAGGACTGTAAGCGTACCAAATTTTGAGGTCATTGGCGATTAGTTATTTCATTTATTAAATTAATTATTAAAGTGGCCAGTAAGCACACTGAGTTGTGTTGCGATTAGCGCTTTTTGTGTTTTATTTAATATATTAATAATTTGTGTGGCCAGTTAGTAATTTGGGTTTAGTGATGATTGGTGCTTGTGTTATTTTATTTATTTAATTAAGACACAAAGTGTCCTGTTAACGACCTATGTTGTGCGGTGATTCGCGCTTTTGTAAGTTTATATATTTAAATAATAAACAAAGTGGCCAGTAAACGCCTCAGGGTGTCATAAGCAACAGACAAATACTTTTAAACCATTATAACTTTGTTCATAAATTCCGAATACAAAATTTTAAGTGGTGCTTAGAAAGATTAATTTGTTGTGTAAATATGTGTATTGATATTAGATTTCTGTAATTAATAAGTATTAAAACTCAAATAAGTACAAAAAATTTTATTTTTTCGCATAAGCTATTTTTATAGTATTTTTTATAATTTTGATCTTTATTTTATGAATTTTTTCTCTTAGAAAAAGAAGTCGACGATGATTAAACATGGACCCAACGAGTAAAACTAACAGGTGAGTTACTAGACCAAATAGGGTGATGAAATCCAGTAGAATCAACTTTTGCCGTATCAAATGCACATATAGCATGCTGTTTAATTGATCGGTGAATCCATTTATCGTATCACTGGTAAAAAAAATGTAAAAACTATCATAAATAATTCTTTGTTGATAAAAAAAGCCCTTAAAGTTCTATTTTTAACTGCTCGACAAAAAAGNTTAAAACAAAGTGATCAGTAGGCGCCCTGGGTTGTGTGGTAATCAGTTTTTGTGATGTTTTATTTATTTTACTAATAAACAAAGCAGCCAGCAAGCTCTTTAAGTAACGTGATGATAAGTGCTTGTGTTATTTTATTTATTCGATTAATAAACAATGTGGCCAGTAAACGCATTAGGTTGAGTGTCAATAGACGCTTGTATTATTTCATTTGTTTGATTTATCAACAAAGTCACCAATTGGCGCCCTTTGTTTTGTGTTAATCGGTGTTTGTGTTGTTTTGATTATTTTATTATCAAACAAGGCGGCCAGCGAGCACTCTTAGTTGCGTAGTGATTTGCGCTTGTGTTATATTTTTAAGTTAATTAATACACTAATTGGCAAGTAAGCGCTCTGGGTTATGTGATGATGGGTCTTTGTGTTATTCCATTTATTTATTTATCTAACAAAGTGGCCAGCAAGCGCTTTAGATTGATTGGTGATTGGTGTTTATGTTGTTTGATTTATCTAATTCATATTTAAAGTGGCTTGTAAATGCCCCAGGTTGTGTGGTTTGCGCTTGCGTTAATTTATTTATCGTATTAATCAATAAAGTGACCAGTAAGTGCTCTGGGTTGTGTGGTGGTTGGCTATTGTGTTATTTTATTTATTGATTAATAATTAAAGTAGCCAGTAAACTTCTCAGGTTGTGTGGTGATTAGCGCTTGCGTTAATTTATTTATTATATTAATTAACAACGTGGCCTGTGAACGCTCTAGGTTGTGTGGTGATTGGCGCTTCTGTTATTTCATATGTTAGATCAATCAACAAAGTGACCAGTGTGCAGTAATCAGTTTTTGTGATGTTTTATTTATTTTACTAATAAACAAAGCAGCCAGCAAGCTCTTTAAGTAACGTGATGATAAGTGCTTGTGTTGTTTTATTTATTCGATTAATAAACAATGTGGCCAGTAAACGCATTAGGTTGAGTGTCAATAGACGCTTGTATTATTTCATTTGTTTGATTTATCAACAAAGTCACCAATTGGCGCCCTTTGTTTTGTGTTAATCGGTGTTTGTGTTGTTTTGATTATTTTATTATCAAACAAGGCGGCCAGCGAGCACTCTTAGTTGCGTAGTGATTTGCGCTTGTGTTATATTTTTAAGTTAATTAATACACTAATTGGCAAGTAAGCGCTCTGGGTTATGTGATGATGGGTCTTTGTGTTATTCCATTTATTTATTTATCTAACAAAGTGGCCAGCAAGCGCTTTAGATTGATTGGTGATTGGTGTTTATGTTGTTTGATTTATCTAATTCATATTTAAAGTGGCTTGTAAATGCCCCAGGTTGTGTGGTTTGCGCTTGCGTTAATTTATTTATCGTATTAATCAATAAAGTGACCAGTAAGTGCTCTGGGTTGTGTGGTGGTTGGCTATTGTGTTATTTTATTTATTGATTAATAATTAAAGTAGCCAGTAATCTTCTCAGGTTGTGTGTTAATCGGTGCTTGCGTTAATTTATTTATTATATTAATTAACAACGTGGCCTGTGAACGCTCTAGGTTGTGTGGTGATTGGCGCTTCTGTTATTTCATATGTTAGATCAATCAACAAAGTGACCAGTAGGCGCCCTGGGTTGTGTCGTAATCAGTTTTTGTGATGTTTTATTTATTTTACTAATAAACAAAGCAGCCGGCAAGCGCTTTGAGTTGTGTGATGATTAGTGCTTGTGCTATTTTATTTATTCGATTAATAAACAATGTCGCCATTAAGCGCCCTAGGTTAAGTGTCAATAGATGCTTATGACGACTAGTTTAAACGTGCTGGTTTTATCATTGGCTCTTGAGTTTTTTTTTTTTTTTACATCTAAAGCATCATCTGGTGTGGCGTAAGAGGGAATAACTTCTGTAGAATGTACTGTCTTGTTGATCTAGGTGTATAAATAATAAACACGAACTAGATCACATCTGAAAGCTTCCTTTTTTTGACCATGATAACAGCAAACGTAATCATTATGGCGAGAAAGATTCTTAAAAGATGGGCAAGAGTACTCTTCAAGATTTATTATTTGACGATCCAAAACCTTTTTCAGTATTTTTTGCTTTTGATTACCTCGAACGTAAATGTGTAGAGCACTTCTTGCTATGTCACGTAAAGCGCTATATACGTCCTCCATATTAGCTTCACCATCAAACCACTCGAGTCCATGAAAATAACACGTTAAATAACTATTTGTAGCTGAAAGTCCTGACGTCAATTTCGTAGTGTTGTAGGGCGGTTTAATATTCCAATGTGAACTAAAGTTACAGCCAACACTCACCACGGCGATTTTTTTTTGTAAAAAATCACCATTTTTATCGTAAAATGCTTGAATATCTACGATGAAATTAACTTTTTCCATGATTTTTTGTGAGCAGCCACGTCCACTGTCTTCAATGGTTCGCGGCATACTGATCGTTCGACGAAAGATTGGAGATTACGAGATGAGGAAAAAAGGTTTGTAACAGCGCTTAAAAAGTGGTAGTGAATATGAGAAGAGGAGTGATGGGGGTTAGTGGTGGTAGTGGACGTACAAGGGAGGTAATAAAATGAGAGAAAAAAAGTCTTTTTAGGCGTTGAAATCCACAACTATCTCACGGTTTGAGTCTATTTCTAACACGTTGTCAAATTCTGAGTTAAGAACACAATTTTTTTTTGTCAAAGGCGTTTTAAAACGTACATCTATTCTGACAGACCCATTTTTTACTAAATTCCAATGACCTGCAAAGTGCGCAGACAAATCTGGTGTAAGATCAAACGCAAAAAGACAATACCCTTTTGGATAATTTTTTCTGTGTATGTTGTTTCATGCAATGTATTCCGGAGCCAGAAAATAATGTCTGATAAGCTTCAACGTACATAGATCCACTTCCTGTAAAAGTAATAATTTGCTTGGAATTTGTACCCCATCAACGTATAATGACAAAAAATTAATAGAGTAATTTTGGAAATTAAAGGGGTTAAGTTTTCTGTCCCCGTTGAAAGCTTTGTTGTCGACGAAGCCTAGTATTATTATTTTTGGTAACTGGCCAAGAATAACGTTTTCTGAATAGTCGCATGTAATACCACTGTGCATAGTAAAAGATTTAACTTCCACACGGGTGATTGGATATTTTGCAGTAGTGGTTGCTAAAGTCTTTGCATGTGCAATAAAAACTGTGGGGCTTACTTTTACTCGTCGAACAAAAAGTGTTGCTTCGGTAATACTGACTGAATAATTCCTTGTAGATGCATCCATCAAACAAAATGCATCCTTCGAACGAACCAGACGTAGACGACCTTCAACACCATTTAATAAAAGTGTGTCTTGATTAAACACATCGCAATGCAAATGACCCATCAAGTCCACTGTCATATCATCCTTTATATACTCTTGACGCTTTGCGAGAGATATATAATTTTCTCTGATCCGGGTAGTTTATCCATCTCACCAGCTACATCGGTTTCCCAAAGACTCGTGGACATGTGAGAAGTTTTTACTGCAGGTCCGTAATTAAATAGTGTTTCGATGTATGCTCTGTACGGGTAAGCATTGTTAGGAGAGGTTACTAGTTTTTGATTGAAATATACATCAACTTGATTAAATATAGAGTGTAAGAAATTGTTTACTGGAGCCACAAACGCATCTGTATCCTTGTCGTAAGGTATTAATTTTACATTAACTCTCAGCATTGTGTAAGCAAGGTCCAAATAATCCTCATTTTGAGAGTTTATGACAAACTCTATCGGACTTTGGTCAGTTAATGATGAAACAGGTTTATAATAAACACACCAACTTGCCTCTAACGCTATCTGAGTAAGAGGAAGAGAAAATAAATCCAACTCACTCTTGAGATACGGATCAGTGTGGCTATGCAAAAAAGACATTATTAATATTTAACTAAAAATATCGGTCACTTTAAATTTCTTTTTTTTCTGCACTTTTTTTACTCTTTTTACAGTTAACACACTTAATTTTTTTACTATTTTTCTTTTTCCCTCCTCTGGTCTTATTCTTTTTAACAACACTTTTCTTGCGTCCACGTTTTGTCACTCGAGATTTTTTTTTTTTAGCACGAGTCGTAGAGATGTGATGGGTAGCGCTTCTCCTACGAGACTACGCTCGACGTTTGTACGGTAAAGCATTATATCCGGATCCTTCCATTAATCTAACAAGCTTTTTCGTTGCCTTACCTTTAAAGTTTATACCTGATTTGGTTGCAGGATTTGTCAATGCATCTCGTAAAAAAAATCCCTTGATACTTTCACCATCCAAATCATGCAAGTAATATATGTGTAAATTCTGTCTTTTGCTAACACCGACAATTTTAAATATTTCTTCACTCCAGGATTTCAGGGCACTTTTTCGGATACGTTTTTCTCATGACTGATAGGCACGGAGTCTCCAACTTTATACTTTGATTTAGCTTGACGATTCTGAAGATGTTTTTGCTTTTGTGTTCGTGAGTTTACTAAATTTTCTCTCACAATGTGCGCGTTATGTATAATTACTTCCCTGAGTGCTAGCTTGATTGTGGAGTGGAGTGATTTATTGTACCCATCAATTAAATCTTGTAGTACATCGATGTAATGGTATGTATCTTTATCTGTAAAATATTTGTACATACGTTCCTTGAGTGTTCGTATGAAACGCTCTACTACAGCTGCTTTAACGTTGGGATTTCTCATAATCCGAAATTTCATTATGCTTTAACAATTGTTGGAACTTGCTTCCTAAAAATTATTTTCCCCGATCTGTTTGGACTGTTTTTGGAAATCGATAGTGTTTATTATCGAGAATTTTTTAAAAAGTTGTGGTAACTTTACGGCAAGTTTTATTACGTAATGGGTGAGCCCATACAAATTTACTCAAAACGTCTATTACAACGAGAATGTACGACATACCACTGTTGTAGTTTTTGATAGACGTCAATTGAATGAGATCAGCCTCCCACAAATCATCCACAGCGTTGACATCGTAAAAAAGGCGTGGAAACTTACGTCAAATAGTTTTGTGTAACGTGTAAACGGCTTGTCTCTTCAACCATTCCTTTATTTCATCTAATGAAATACTTTTATTTAATCTTATTAAGTTTCTAGCCTCGGTAAAACCAGCCTCATGACTGGACGTAAGGTATTGTTTTTCCAACGCGTCCATTTTTTCAAAATCCAAGCCACTGTCCGCCTCCTACTCCTCCTCCCTTTTGCAAAGGTGCAGATGTCTTGGATAGACTTCTGATGTTACTTTTTATAATTTTATTCTCTTTAATAGTAGTTTCCCCAAATGATTAATATGCTTCACTGCCGTCTTTACTCGACAATTCATCGGTAATATCGTCATAGTCACAGTCTATATTCTCTCTAGAGTTGAATAATTTTTGACGAGTCTTTGATAAAGTCTCGACTCGATTGGCGTTACGAATCTCCCACAGGTCATCATTTCTTACAAACTCTCGAGGAGTAACGATCTTGCGCAACATATTACCAAATTTTTTTCTACCCACAGATTTGACTCTTTTTCTGCGTCTTGCCGCATCATTTATTAAGTCAATAAAATTAAAACCTTGTATTTTTTTACCATTAATGGTCACGACACCCTCACTATTCCAACTAATTTTACGGTTATTCTTTTTTAAATAATTTAAAAGTAATTCAGACTTTATTTGGTATGCTGTTGGTATAGTTTTCAGAATCATATCATCACTTATTCGATCATTTGCATCCGTATCATATTTTTCCTCCTCTTGTTCCGTTGATACGTATAGATTTCTCTGTTCTTCTATGAAATAAAAGTATCTTTGTGAGACTCTTAAATGTTCTTTAGATTTTTCACGTTCGTCGTTGAACGCATTGGAGTCAAGAATTGGTTTCATTTCATCATCTAAACGACTGAGTTGTTTCCAACAGTTTGTGTAGATTGTAAAACTCGTTGCGATAAAAAAATCGTTAGTAGCAGTAAAAACAGGTATTACAGCTTCACAAAGGGGTTTCACATTTTCACTGGGTATTCTTTCAAGCTGTTCTTTCGAAATTAAAACCATTTTTTTGCTTTCTGCATACCACTTAAAATTTTTTTTATTTTATAAAGCTCTTGTTAATATTGTGCTTAACACCACTTGAAGTATAAAAGGTAAGAAACCATTACCTTGTTGTACAATAATTTTTCTTTTTTTTTCAAGAATCTTCACTATTGCAGCCTCCTTATTTCTTCTTTATCTTCTTCTTCTTAGAAACTACTTCTCTCAACACGTTCTTAAATTTTTCAAGTTTTGACTTTTGTAATTTTTTCAAAGGAACAACACCTTTTAGTACATTTAGAACACACTTGCAAATACAATGAGTTAATTTTTTATCGGCTTTTTTTAATAATGCAACACGCTGATCTTTATTTAAATGCTCGAGAGCTTTTAATACTTTCGAGAATGTACGACATACCACTGTTATAGTTTTTGATAGACGTCAATTTAATGAGATCAGCCTCCCACAAATCATCCAAAGCGTTGACATCGTAAAAAAGGCGTGGAAACTTACGTCAAATAGTTTTGTGTAACGTGTAAACGGCTTGTCTCTTCAACCATTCCTTTATTTCATCTAATGAAATACTTTTATTTAATCTTATTAAGTTTCTAGCCTCGGTAAANATTTATTTTTTTTTTCAAACGGTATCTTTGAAGAAAACGAGAAGTTTAAGGACCTATAACTATTTCGGTGACCACAGTGTTGACCTGTCATCCGTTGTGATGCAGACGCTTCCATCGTTCAAACAAAACTGAAGATACAAGCTCACTGACCAGTATTTAAAACAAAATTTTATTTTTTACCGTAGGCGATGTAAGTATAGCTACTGTGTACGTATTTTGGTAAATGTACATACTGATACTCATCATCAGGAAATATGCACGTACGAAATCTAAACTCGTCCAGTGTATCCAGCTTACAATCGATCATTAAATACCCATGTCCTTTCATCGTTGCATCCTGATAGGCTTCTTGTACAAATTAAGGATCTTCGGGAAAAATTTGTCTTTCCAAGTGTTGTATTTGAACACGATCTCGAGGATTTTTAAACAAAACAATGTTCGAAGCATTGAGACTTATATCACGCGGAAGAGTAGACTTGTAAAAAATATTTTAAGTTATAAACATAACACTTATGTTTTCATGATGACTCCCTTTTGTAAACAAATCCACAACAACATTGTTTGATGATTCATGCATTAAATCATCGATGATGAGTAATTTCTTCCGTTGGGGATCGTTTGAATAATGTTCGGGTTTTGGTAGTCCTTCGCGAAATTCAATTGGTTGACCATTTTTTTTTTAATTTTTACTTTTATAACTATCCTGCCACTCAGCGTAGTAAAATAAAATTCTATCGAATCGTACACTTGACAATTCATCGATAAAATTTAAGAATCTTTTGACGAAAACAGTCTAACCACACCCTGTAAAACCACAAATCGTACTCGTCCATGGATGCTGCCAGCGCGTATTCATCGCGACGTTTGAACTAAACTACGCATGTTAGTGTAACCGACTTGATAAAAGTGTATTAATTTACAAATTATAAAAAAAAGAAAAACCCATTCGTAACAGCGGTGGTGACGGCGACGGCGGCGGCGGCGGGGGTAACAATATAGCTGATTCAACGCGGGGAGTCAAGCTGACCTAGAGAGCGCGCGCGTATCATGTAGCTGCATCCCTCTAGCTAAGGAGTATTATCCCTCTTCCAATCCCACTCTTTTTTAGCTTGACTAAACAGAGGAATCTCTCATTTTATGATTTTCTCACTAGGTCAGTCTAAAACCTGAAAAGCACGCTATGTGTGTTTTTATCTTCTTCCTCTTTTAAAGATCTTATCCTTACGAGTTTAAAGGGTCGAATTGCTCTCTGAAATAAAATATGACGTCTCCTCCCAACACAAGAGAACGTAGCAGGAAAAAATTAGTGGGTCTTACAAAAAATGTACGGATCTCGTTCTTTTACACACCATCTTTGTCTTACATTCAATTAATTGACACAGATTCTGATAATGAAATTTTGGATTCGGAAAAGCAAGAATATTACGTTAAAAAAAAAATGACATTAATTGTCAAAAGTCATCAACCTTAAAAAGAGAAACAGACTACCTTTTTTACAAAAGTTAAGGCAAATTAAATTGAAGTCATGAATAATGAATGTAATTTTGTGTACAATATTATTTCAACAATGCAGAAAAATATTGTTTTTACAGCCACACATGCATATAGCAATAAATATCAATAATAAATCGAGACGTTGTATGGCAGAAGGTGGGAACAGATGTAAAGTGATTGATGTAGGAAAATCTTTTGATATATCGGAATCTGTGATAAAGTGTAATATAGTTATTTATGAGTTGAAACAGCGTTTTTTAAGTTTATCGCCTGGAGCAATTTTATGTGGGTTAGGAGATATTTCACCAATATCGTGGTTAAATAGTTCTCGTTGGACCGATCTCTCGCGAGTTTACTTTTTTGTCGAGCAGTTAAAAATAGAACTTTAAGGGCTTTTTTTATCAACAAAGAATTATTTATGATAGTTTTTACATTTTTTTTACCAGTGATACGATAAATGGATTCACCGATCAATTAAACAGCATGCTATATGTGCATTTGATACGGCAAAAGTTGATTCTACTGGATTTCATCACCCTATTTGGTCTAGTAACTCACCTGTTAGTTTTACTCGTTGGGTCCATGTTTAATCATCGTCGACTTCTTTTTCTAAGAGAAAAAATTCATAAAATAAAGATCAAAATTATAAAAAATACTATAAAAATAGCTTATGCGAAAAAATAAAATTTTTTGTACTTATTTGAGTTTTAATACTTATTAATTACAGAAATCTAATATCAATACACATATTTACACAACAAATTAATCTTTCTAAGCACCACTTAAAATTTTGTATTCGGAATTTATGAACAAAGTTATAATGGTTTAAAAGTATTTGTCTGTTGCTTATGACACCCTGAGGCGTTTACTGGCCACTTTGTTTATTATTTAAATATATAAACTTACAAAAGCGCGAATCACCGCACAACATAGGTCGTTAACAGGACACTTTGTGTCTTAATTTAATAAATAAAATAACACAAGCACCAATCATCACTTAACCCAGAGCACTTACTGGCCACTTAGTTAATTAATATAAGAAATAAAACAACGAAAGCACTAATCGCCACACAACCCAGTGCGCTTACTGGCCACTCAGTTAATTATTATAATAAATAAAACAACACAAGCAACGATTACCACACAACCCAGGGAGCCTACTGGTCACTTCGTTGATTAATCTAACATATAAAATAACACAAGCGCCAATCACAACACAACCCAAAGCTCCTTCCGGCCACTTTGTAAATTAATATGATAAATAAATTAACACAAGCGCCAATCACAACACAACCTAGGGGGTTTACTGGCCACTTTGTTTATTAATTAGATAATTAAAATAACACAAGCACCAATCACCACACAACCCAAAGCGTTTAGTATCCGATTTGTTTATTAATAAAATCAATAAAACAACACAAGCACCGATTGCCACACAACTCAGGGCACCTACTGGTTGCCTTGTTAATTAATCTAACATATGAAATAACACAAGCGCCAATCAGCACAATACCCAGAGAACTTACTGGCCACTTTGTCAAGTAATATGGAAAATAAATTAACGCAAGCGCCAATCACCACACAACCCAGGGAGCCTACTGGTCACTTCGTTGATTAATCTAACATATAAAATAACACAAGCGCCAATCACAACACAACCCAAAGCACCTTCTGGCCACTTTGTAAATTAATATGATAAATAAATTAACACAAGCGCCAATCACAACACAACCTAGGGGGTTTACTGGCCACTTTGTTTATTAATTAGATAATTAAAATAACACAAGCACCAATCACCACACAACCCAAAGCGTTTAGTAGCCGATTTGTTTATTAATAAAATCAATAAAACAACACAAGCACCGATTGCCACACAACTCAGGGCACCTACTGGTTGCCTTGTTAATTAATCTAACATATGAAATAACACAAGCGCCAATCAGCACAATACCCAGAGAACTTACTGGCCACTTTGTCAAGTAATATGGAAAATAAATTAACGCAAGCGCCAATCACCACACAA